ATAACTTTACCGATACACTCAACTTCAACAATCGCCCTAAAACAACGCTATAACGAACTTCAACAATACTCTGACTGCAGATCAATTACTCACTGTCTACACACACATTACCGCGTCACGTTGTCCCTCTCTTATATATACCCGACTACCCTATATCTAGTAAATACTAGAGCATTCGCCAAAGTACAGGATAGTTCTAGAAACGTGGCATCACTGTAGTCATGTGACTCGCTGACGCAACATTTATTTATTATTTCCTGTTTCCCACTATGTGTGTTTTGTGAAGTGACAGGAGTTAGTTGAAATCAGACTAGTTGTGTTAGATTCACCTCATAATGTTTAATATATTGTTTTTATTACATTTAATGTGGTTATATCTTAATTAGAGTATCATTATTGTAGTTGATTTTTAAGGAATTAGGTATCCATTTAATTTATTATTATTAATTTATACCTTCATAAGTATTAGTTTTTTGCTTTAGTACTAGTACACTCCTGCTACTTGACTATATGCCTAAAAGTAACATGTCATAGCAATTTATTATAGGTGTTAGGTTTCTTAAAAGTTAAACTGTCAGTCACTTAATGGGTTTTATTGGTCATAAGACATTTTTATGAACAGTGGTGGAAAGCTTTGCTTATACATGATCCTACTGATGTTATTGATCAATTACAATGAATCTACAACAGTACTTGAAGTTAACTAGTTTTTGTGGGTTCTGTAAGTAATGTATACTCATATTCTTTTTTAATGTTACATTCACTAATATATACATATATATATATAGTTTTATTATTTTGATTTTTATATCATTATAAAGATGGCTTTCATTGGTAGTTTAGTTTATAGATTAAGCACTAATCTGAATCTCCTAAGCTGCTTGAACGTTGTGAAATATTATTGGGTTTACGGCTGAAAATATCATTGATAGCAAGGGTACTTAACTGATGAAATAATGCATTCTAATAAGTAATATAATGTAAGAAAAGTGTATTTAATTAACCATACTTATTAATGGATTAATTTTTAATTTTGATCTAAGTAGGTAGCTTGCTCTGATGGGATGTTAATATGAATTGATCCAGTATGTATCTCCTACCAAATAGCACTTTAAATAGAACTGTGAAATTTCACATGTCAGTGTTCTTAAAATATTTTCTTAGTGTGTTGTTTCTTGCCAATTTTATCTTGCTGATTTTCTTTTAACAGGTTTATTCTTAGAGGTCATAGTGCTCCAGTTGATAACATAAAGATGGATGAAACAGGATCTCGATGTCTTTCTTACGATTTAAGTGGGAGAGATCGAAGTGTCCGGGTGTGGGATGTAACCAAAGGTATGGTTATTAATTTTTTTAACATATATATATATATATATATAT